TATAAATTTCTTGCTCCTCTGCTGACGTCTCTTTTTCATATGTGTGTGTATATATGTGTACATGTTCATTTAGGAATGGAGAATGAGACCATAAAATCTCAGACCCTGTTTCAACCTATGTCCTGGAAAGTATATTAATTCCTCTGTAACTCCTGCTGTATAGTCTCATCTGTGATGGGATTATGAAATGTTTAGTGGAAGAGACTAGTTGCTGTTGTTTGAAATAGGTCTTACCATGTAACACTGGCTGTCCTGGAACTCATTCTGTAGACCAGGCCGGCTTCAAACTCAGACCCACCTGCCTCTGACTTTCAGTGCTGAATTAAAGGAGTGCACCATCACCAAGCAGCTCATCATCATACTATAACTTCGGTCTTTCAGGAGTTGAGTCTAATTCTTAGATGACTGTGTAAGTGGGATTGTTAAATATATACAAATTTGACAGTGAAAAGTATAAAAATGTTATATAATGGGGCCTATTATATATAGTTAATACATATATAATAATATGAAAGTGAAATATGAAACAAACAAAGGATTAGTAACTAATTGTGGTAGATCCTGTCTATGATCCCAACACTTAGAAGGCTAAGGAGGGAGGATTGAAAGTTTGAGGCACAATGAAAGAGCACCAGGCATGCCTTATCAATAACACAGGGCAGAAGATGATGCACCAGAATCTTCCAAAAGCCAGAGTAATAATGATCATCTTTTAATGTTATTTATATACAATTAAAAGTCATATTCAGGAGTGAGACAAAAATAATGACATTTACAAATACAGAAAGAATAAGAAAGTTTAGGCCTCAGATTAACAAAGCCAAAAGGGGTACTGATGAGGTGATATAGTGGTTAAGGCATTTACCACACAAGCCAAAAGATAAGAATTCAAATCCCCAGAACCCATATAAATGTCCCGTGGGGTGTGTTAGTTCACCTATAATTCCAGCCTTAGAAAGAACAACAGAATAGGAAAGACTCCCAGAACAAGATAGCTAGAAAAAACTAGCTTTATTACAAGCTCTGGGTTTCCTTAAGAAGCCTGCCTCAAAAGAATACAAAAGGAGAGACATGGAGGAAGATTCCCGATAACAACCACAGCAAGCACATTTGACACACACACAGGAAAAAAAGAAAAATGAGAATCCAGAGGGAAGCTAATCATGAAGTATAAATGTTACAAATATTCATAAAAATCTTTATCAGTGTGAGTATAATTTTCCACATGAATGAATTACAGAGGAACAGTATGGTCATAAACATTTCATTTATTTATGACTGTAATGAAATTGATTAGAAATTAGTAAATAAATATTTTTTAAATCTGTGGAAAGTTTTAATATTCTCTGTTAAAATGAGTGAAAATGGAAATTATAGTAGGAAATACAAGATATTTTGCACTAAGATAATGAATGCACAACATACTGAAACTTACAGGATATAAAAGAATAAATATAAATTGATAGCCCTTGAAAAAATACTTGTAAAACTTGGGTCTGGAGAGATGCCTAGTATTAAGAATACTTGCTGCTCTCCCAGAGGAAGGCATGAATTCAGTTCCCAGCCACCTACAGTTTCAACGTCAGGGGACCTGACTCCTAGATTCTGCGGGCAAGCGCGTACATGCAGCCATGCAGACAGATACATAAATACTTGTTAAGTACTCATTCAACTTAAGGATTCATATGAACATGAGTATAGATACCCAATTAAGTGTGCCTGAGTAAAATGAAGGAAGCAAGCCAGAAGAAATTAAGAAAACAATAGACAGTGTAAAAGATCGGTTTCACACAGTGGTTTGTTTAAAAATTAATTTTAAAATTTGTATAACAAACAGACATTTATCATGATGGGGGTGAGACAAAGATAACATGTGCTCCCCACACACAAGCTATCTGGCCTTTTATCCTTCCCCTTCTGTTGTACCGAGTTTGAAGAAAATACTGTGGGTGGCCTTAGATCAACCAGTAGAGCAAAAGAGTAAGATGTGAAAATGGTTTTTAAAAAAACAAACAGAATTAATAACAGAAAGCCTTTTTCTTTTTCCTTCCAAAGGTTACCAAGACCTACATGGTTTACGAGTTAACTGCCCATCGTGCCTTCACACAGAAAGTTAGCTTAGGGGAGAGCAGCTGACTCTCACTACCTGGGCCTCAGCAAGCCTGGACGTGGACTGATCCAGAATATCTTTAAACAGGGAAGTGGCCCAGTGAACACAGGGGAGAGCATGCTAAAAGAATCGTTCTGTGGTGCATATGCATCAGCATGATTCTTTACCTTGAAGGACTGAAGAAAACACTTCCCTCTGTGCAAGGCCTCACAGTCCAGCCTAAGCCCCAACACAAGGGGGTGGGGGTAGGGGTTCTGGTGTTTGTATTAATGACATAAAAAAAAATATTAACTCCATAATTAAGCAAAAATCTTTTAAGAGACTTCGAATTAAAGGGCATTTCTTTGACTAGAAGGGAAGACAAGGAAAATCTAGAGTATGCATCTTTTCCATTACATTCAGAAGAAGCAGTGTGTGTTGGTGCCTCTTAAACAGTACGTTAGTGTTTAGGCACTGGAATAACACATGTATTGGGAGGTAAAGATACGCTATACTAGTGGGAATGAACCATTTGTGTTGTTTTGACGGAAATTCTGGGAGAGTTTGGCTGTGCTCTTGCAACTGCTGCATTTAATGCAGACTTACATTTAGAAAGGTCAAGTTCAGTTGTAGTTGACGTATCTGTCTCATTGAGCCTCCTTAATTAGCACCAGTAAACACACTGTTGTTGGGTGCTGGAAAAGCTTCCTTCTCATTTGGCAATTATGTTCATAGATTGTACAATTCAGCTGACAAAATTATTCTAACCATTCCAAAGTGGCTTTATTGGTTTTAAGAATTTTGGAGGAAAATAAAAATATCCTACTCTAGCCTACTCTTCAATCTAGCAACTGTTCTTCTAACTGCTGTTTTAGGCAGAAGTAGAATGAAGGGAAGTGGTACAAGTTAGAAAACAGATGGGAAACATTTTTGTGACAGTAAAATCTTCTAAATTTGTACCCTAATTTAGGGTGCCTTAGTCTAAATTTAAATCCGTTCACATTGTGGATCCCTTTAAGTACAGACGGCTCTGCCAGACTTGATCATAGCTTTGAAATCCAAGGTAACACCGAGAGATTTACTATCAGCCAGTATTTACTGGTAACCCAGGCAAAGGACATGGCATGTGCTGTTTTGTGTGACTCACTGTCCCCTTCCTGTCCATGGCCTGACTTTATAATTAGTTCAAATGTTTTATGAATTGTTTAGCTCTCCTATTCTCTTGGATCTAAGATGCTCTTTGGTTGACTAGAAAGAGTAGAGAAATGAAAATTACAGAGAGGTTAGGGATTTTTCAGGTTTGTTTTTTTTTTTTTTTTGTGAGGGGAGGTTAGTATTATTGTTGAATTACCTATGATTTTCACATTGTTTACGTATTTTAAGTGTTTGGGGTTTGCTCTTGGATTCTTCCTTGTTCCCAGCATTGCTTTTGTAGTCTGTAGTGTTCTACCATGTGTACCCTAAAGCTGTTTTTCTCTCTCGGCTCTTTGATGAGACTAGAGGTGGATATTTAAGAGAAACACTTCGTGGCTGTTACTAGGTAGATCGTGTCTGCCTCAGCTCAGGCTCATTGTGTCAACTTGATGGTATGAGACAGGTGGACATTCTGCTGACCAGCAAGTGATTGCAGAGAATGGAGGCTGATGACAGATGGGTGTGTCTCATTGCAAAATAAGTAATTCCATGGCTGTGAGTGTGCAGGATAAAATTGGGACCAGCAGATGGTGGGTCTAAGCAGTGTCTTATTTCTTTCTCGGCTGTGAGATTTTCTGTGACTGTCTTTTCATACATGCAGGCTGGGACTGTCCACTAACTGCCTGTATACACTGGCTTTTATAGAGGCAGTTGTTGCTTTCTTTAGAAATTATCCAGACACACTTTGATGTATGGCTTTATGTTCCATTAGTAGTGAAATGGGGTATTCAAAAGTGGAATCCATTCTTGAAGGTCACTTGGTGTTAAAACATGGTAATCAAATCAATCAGATCCTTTTTCTCCATTTCTTTATTTTGTCTTTAATTTTCTGGTATATTAAATTCGTTTGGTCCCTTTTATTACCATTTCAGTATTAATTACTGAAAGTTCTTTCTGAGTTATGAAGGAAAAAAATCTCATTGAGAATCCTACACAGAATATAGAGCTATGTAACTTTAAACAGACCTGCTACTTGTAATTCTCTTTTGTAATAAAGCATATGTAATTTACTTAATCTGAAGTACCTATTTCAATATTTTGTTTTTTGAGACAGGGTCTGCCCTAGAACTCACTATATAACTAAAGCTGTCCTTGAACTCCTGATCCTCACTCTTCCTCTTTCAAGTGCTGTAGCACCACACCTGTCATTCTCCAAAGTACCTTTAAAATGCATGTTTTGGGTTAACTTGTAAACTCACAAACCCTTATAGTTTTTCAGTAGATATAGGCAAATTCATTATAACCAGTATAATAGGTTTAGAGATGTTCTTGAGAACTTAGGAGGAAAGGGAGGTAGAAAGTACAGTTATTGTGTATAGAGCAGAGAAAAGCCTAGAGGACGCTATTGGAATCAGTTTGTCTCTGTTGGAACTCCAGATTATACAAAAGAAAAAAATGATTATTTCTTTCATCTGTGGAACTTTGGCTGTGACCTCTTTCCCTGGGTTTGCTTTGGTTTAGTTTGGTTTGTATTTTTCCATCTTTGGAGTATATGGGTGGGATTATCTCCCCTTCAGATGCACAGAGAACACAAGAGGAAAACTAGGTGGTGTTAATCCTGAAAGAAGAAAGGGGTGTTGGGTAGAAATAAACAGACAGACAAATGCCAACTCTTGCTACTAATTCTGCTTAATAACTAAGGGTTGTCCCTTCTCCAAGAAAGAATAGCAGCTGGGTTACTTGGCCTAATGCCTCCACTTACTTGTTTTTGCTGCAGGTACCTGTTTCCCAAGTTTACACTGTGCTGGACCGAGTTTGTAGACATGAAAGTCCATGTGCCCTGTGAAACAGTTGAGTACATTGAAGCCAACTATGGTAAGACCTGGAAGATTCCTGTCAAGACATGGGACTGGAAGAGCTCGCCCCCTAACGTGCAGCCCAATGGGATCTGGCCTATTTCTGAGTGGGACGAGGTTATCCAGTTGTACTGAGAATACTAAGTTAAGGTTGGATATTCCCGAAAAGAAGTGGGGAACCGTTCAAAGTGCTACTGTCTTTTTGCCTTGTGTGAGCCAAAGAAGAGAAATGGCAAGTGTGAAGACAGAAAATGTTCTAACTCATGAGCCATCGAATTAGTTCTGTCATTTAGCATTACTGTGGAGTTTATACAGCAAGTAAATACTAGGTTCTGGTGAACAGGCAGAGATGAATGAACAGGTGCCTGCCTCTCTGTTGTCCTGTTGGTAAACACTACTATTTTCTTTTGAGGGAAACTTACTCACCCTCTGAAGAGCTGAGGTACAATATGATGATGTATTCTGTAATGATTTTTAAAATGTTTATACTGAAAAGTGAGCTCATCAGACAAAGCTAAGAAAAGATACATTAGTTACAAATAATCTATTCCTGCCTGTCCTTGAGATTTAAGGTGCTATATTAGGACCACTTTTAAGATAGTGGAATATGAGTTAATATTTCAGTGAGTGATTAGACTTTATGTGTCATAGAAAAAAAGATAGTGACAGACTCATTTTACAAGCAATACAATACACAGTTGGCTTCAAGCACAGGGTGTTATATAAAGGAAGATGAGAGCCCATTTCAGGTCTTGTTAAGACATTTATTATTTTCTTATTTAAACTGAAAAATTGATGCTTCTGTGATGCTTAAATGTCTGATGTCATAGGAATATCTTCACTGACCTGCAGTAGTATTCAGTCATGCTATCCAAAAGTTATGATTTCCCAAACTTAACTTTTCTTATTTAATTCTCAATCACTGTTAGCTTCTAAAATGGGAGTTATTCATGGGTGTTTTCATATTTTCTGAGTGTATAACTCTTGTAACCTTAACTTTAATGTTGGCTGAGTTTTTTTTTAATATGCCTTTTATTTATAAACTCTAGCTTCAATTCTTTAATTTATGGCCTACATACTAATTTATTTAGCATGAAGATGTGATTGTTCTTCTATTTCAATATTACTTCAGGTTTCCAAAATGGAGGGCTAATGTGAACCTGGCACTATTCCTCATTCCAGATCACTGTTTTTAAAACCTGCGTCCACCTCTAGATTTTCATTTTGCTGAGTGTAATAGGGCAAGGACTCTGACTTCCTCCTGCCAATTACTACACATGTTAGACTGCTTGACTTCCTTTTTCTTCTCAAAATCACTCATGTGAGTTGGCTGGGGCAGCTGTGGCCCATCTCTTTACCTGCACTTAAGCAGTGCACTCTAGGTGAGAGATGCTGTCTTTTCCTTGCCTGGGAAAGGAGGTTCTCTACTCCCTGCTGCTTAGAGATGCACCTCGTGGCAGCCTGTCAGATTTTCCTTTGAACCTGTAAATACTAAAATGGAGACCAGAATATCTGAGGGAATGGGCTGGCAGAAATAAAAAATAAAACCTTGGAGGTTAGGGAGATGGCTTAGAAGTTAAGAACACCGGCTGTTCTTCCAAAGGTCCTGAGTTCAATTCCCAGCAACCACATGGAGGCTCACAACCATCTATAGTGAGATCCGGTGTCCTCTTCTGGTGTGCTATAGAAATAATAAATAAATAAATCTAAAAACAAATAAATAAATAAAACCTTAGAGGAGGTAACCTGAAGCCACCCACTTCTAAATTTTAAAATCAACACAACTCTTTGTTGGGGGGCTCTCAACAGCCTGTTAGGATAAATCCTCAATGTAGGAATATCAAGTCTTGAGGAAGGTAGCATGCCCGAGTGCTTTAAGGCTCTGGATTAAGGAATATCAAGTCTCTCATAATAAATCAAGTCTCAATCATAATCAGATTTTCAGGAACCTTTATAATTGTTAAGAAACTTTTACTGAGATGACAGATCATATCAGTTTTTCCTAGAAACTCAGTCCATAGAAAATGTGCTCAAGTTTTGTAGCCAACCCTAATTTCATTTTTATACGCCAAAAATATAGCAGATAATAGTGTTCCTGAGGACAGACCCACCATACCTGGAGAGGACCATTTGCTTGTACCCAGTATCAAAAGCAAGCACATTTCCATCACATTCTTGAGAGTTCCCACCTTCTGCCAGGAGGTCTTACCTCCACTGTTCAAGTTATTTCTCTTTTATCCATCTTTGGACAAGCTGTGGACAAAGGTTCTATACTCTTCTCTAAGTAGAGGATGGATAAACTTCTTGTCTTCCCTCAGGATTGGCTTTAGCTTTTAGGTTCTACCTGACCTTGGAGAAAAGGAAAGCCTTTCCCCAGAATGTGTAGGTAAGGGTCACCTCTGAAGATGATCCCATGATTCAGTCATACTGAAGCCTTAACCTTTGAACTCTGCTGAGTGTCCAGAGACCCTGGACAGGTGCCTACCACCTGTACAAATGTACAGCTCACTTTTCTTTCCTCCTTGAATATATCCACTGTCATTCTCCTAATATGACTACTTTCTGGTTTGCTTGAAGATACCATTTATATTAACTTGTTGATAGTTCATGTTGCTGAGGATATTTTCAGAGAGACCCCAAGAAGCCAGCACTTTCTTGGTTTACAACAGCCAGCTACATCTCTAAGCCTAGAGTACATGCCCTGCTCTGTTGCGGGTATTGACATTGGCCACTGAGATAAAAAATAGTACTAAAACTGGGCATCCCTAAGCGGAGAGCAGGCTCCCAGGTTCTCCAGCTTAGTAAAACATTCCTTCTAACCCTCATTTCTCCCCTACTGATTAACCCAGGCAGAAGTGGGCTGAGCAAAACAGCTAAGGCTGAGGCCCAAGCACTCTGTGACTTCTGACTGCAGTCCTGAGATTAGTTCTTTCTACAGCCTCCATGACACTTCAGTGCTGGAGCGGGCTCTCCAGTGGCACGGGCGGCCAGTGTGCCTGTCATGCCCCACAGAAGGCCTGAGGTGACAGAAGATGTTGACAGGAGTCTCAGGCTGCCTTTTTACTTATATCTGGAGGGCGGGGGAACCTTGCCTACAAAAAGTAGAACAGTATATGTCTGAAGACATGAGTCTGTTATTCCTAGGATATTTAGCAAGTACACATGAAATGCACTGTTTTCTGGTGTATGGTTTCTCTGTAATTGTTTAAATAGGACACAGAAATTGTAGGTGAGGACACAGTACTCCAAAGGTCACGTGACAGAGTTGCTTAGGAATAAAATTGGAGCCAGGCATGGTGGTACACACCTGTAATCCCAGCACTCAGGGAGGCAAGAGGCAGGTGGATCTCTGAGTTTGAGGCCAGCCTGCTCTACAATTCAAGCCCAGGATGGCCAAGGCTATACAGAAAAACCCAGTCTCAAAAAATAAATAAATAAAAAAGAAAGAAAAAGAAAGGAAATAAAGTTGGGGGTGGGCACTGGCGAGATGGCTTAGTGGGTAAAAGCATTTGTCATTAAATCTGATAACTAAAGTTTGACCCCCAGGCCCCGTACATTGTAAGGAGAAAACCGACTTCTACAAATTGCCTGTGACACTACACCCAGGCTCTGCTATGCAGCCTCTCTAGCACGTGTGCAGACACACACACACATAAATGCACACAAAGTGTGTGAAAAGGTTTTTTTTTTTTTTTATCTAAGCATTACAGGTCAAATTATATGGTTTATGAATTCAGAGTCCTTGCCATATTGCCTCCACCTATAAACAAAGCTGTGTTTTTATTTAGTGGACCAAGTTGCTGTCTTCTAATATTATCCCATGTACTAATGTCTCCTCTTAAGCCGAGTCAGTTTACTCTTAAGTTTTGTGCGTGGTCTGATATGAACTTGTTGCTCAGTATTCTAGCTTTGGGCAGCAAACATCACCATAGATAATGATTTGCAGAACCAAAGATTTTGAAATGCTTAGTTTTAGTTAACTGCCTACTCTGTATAGAAATGTGGGTCATGGGTTAGTGGTAGTCTAATTGCCCAATTGCCCAGCATTTGTGAGGTCTGGATTCAGTACAAAGCACCACAAGTCTGAGGCAGAAGGATTACCACATGATCAAGGCCAGCTTCAGCTATGTAATGAGTTCCAGCCCATCCTGGGCTATAGTGGAAGGCCCTGTATTGAGGGAGGGAAAAAGAGGGGAGAGAGGGAGAGAAGCAGAGAGAATGAGAATATACTCCTGTTAATCATTTACCCACAAATTTATGTTTTTATTTAAGCTAGGCTAAAATCAGCAGTGTGTGCAATGCTGTTTTAAGTTCCTTCACATTAGAGCGAAATACTAATTGTAGTTAATTGTAGGCAAACAGACCAATTCAGTGATGATGCCTTTTTGAATAGAATCAGCACGCAAGTACAAATTTTCTGAGAAAATTGTTTCTTTACCCTCAGAACACCTAAGCTACAATTTGCCCCTCTAATTCCTCGACCTAACCTAATATAATTTCCATTTAGTCATCTAAACTTCTGTCTACTTATGAATAGCTTTCACAGAAGGAGAATGTATGGGAAAGCTTTGTCATATATTATGTCATGCACTTTAAAAATTATAAGCTCTTACAGCCTTATGACAATTTATTCAAAGCATGAAAGCTATTTCATGAGTGTTAAATACAAATCATGCGTAGCTCTGTCAACTTGTGACATTTGACTGTAACACATGGATGTGAATTTTCTAGACAAAGTTATGTTTTAAACATGAGATTTCAGTATATGCTTACCAGTTTACTATTTGGTTTTCTCTTCAGGTAGTAGTTTATGGTAGTACTGAAAATACTTTTAAGGTTATTACTCTGATCTGAATTTGTAATATACATTCTACTTTGGAGTGATTAATAAACTTTTTAAATTTCTTGTGTGCTTTTGTGTTTGCTTTTGAAACTTGAACTAAAAATAAAGCCACTAGCATTCAAAACTGGTAAAATGGTAATCTTGCCACAAATACAGTATTTCTAAAGTTCAAGTCTGAACAGCCTAGAGGTACACAGATACACTGGGATCCAAAACTTTCAGTGGAAAGTCTGCCGCGTGACAGTCCTAATCAGGAGGAGTTTGGCTTATCAGCTAAGGGTAGCCAGGGAAACACCCACTGTGGGGAACCAGGATGTACATTAGGATCACAGTTCTAGAAAGGTCTTCTTTTTGTTAAAGCCAAAAGTGTAAAGAAGTGCCCTCGGGCAAGGAGTGAAAGTCCTAGTTTATGCAAACCCAACAGTCTGTAAAGAAATTATGTGTATCTAAAAATGTGGTGAAGAAACCAAAGAAGAGTACATAAATGGAGACATTGTCAAGCATTAGAAACTCAACTTGTAAAATCTGCCAAAATTAGTGTGCAACTCTTAAGACAATCAGCCATGTTTTTCTAAACTCCTTATTCTAGAATTCATATGATGAATTTATCTAGAGTAGCTCAATCTTGACAAAAAAAAAAAAAAAAAAGTTTGGAAAAAGAACAAAAGAAAGGAAAGAAAGAAAACAGTACATCAGAGATGGTTTCATTGTTAAGAGCACTGGCTGCTCTTGCAGAGTTCTTAGGTTAGTTCCCAGCACCCACATGGCAGCTCACAAATGTCCTTAACTCCAGTTTCAAGGAATCTAACACTCCTTTCTGTTTCTGTGGGTACCAGGCACATATATGGTGTACATACATACATGCAGGCAAAACAAGCACACACATTAAAAAACAAGACAATAAAATGATCTTCCAAGAAAGGGAAAGAGACAGGCAGAGGGGGTGGGGAGAGGGAGAGAAGACAGAAGGGTGTGGCTCTAGATATAAGCCTCCTCACAGTTTACTAGATCTGTGATCTTAGAAGGGAGATGGAAGGTGGCCCTGGGTTTACAGTAAAGTTGCCCTCTAGAGATGACAGATCTTGAACTCTTGTCTTCTCATTTGAAATCCACTGGCTACAATTTCTGTCAATGCATATTACTACTGGCCTGGAAAATAATTTTTAAAAATTATAACTTGACTTCAACTTTTTTTTCAACACACACGTACTTGGTATTAAAACTTTATGGGTAGCAACATCTGGTGCCCAACTCCTCTAAAAGAAGACTGCTGCGGGTTTTCACAAGATGGTGAACACAGACTCTAAAAGTCAAGGGTCAAGTAAATCTTAAAATTTACTTGCCAACTCTAAATCTTAGAAATGGCATCAAAGGTGGCCTTGGTGAAATTGCCCAGTGTAGCAGTGCAGTCCCAGCTGATGTGTAGCAGTCATCAGTGCTAGCTAACCCAGCGGCTTGAACACAAGAAGGGCATGATGTCTGTGCTTCTTAGAGCACGGATGAGGCACACCTGCACAGAGCCACAGAAGCCTCTCACCTCCGTGGTATGGTGACTTTTTCACTCTTATTCCACCAGGAACCATAGCCTCTGCATTGGGACAATGGAAATCTTGGCACCATAGGTGCCAGCAGCTGCCTCCTCAGGGCTTATGACACTCAAGCCAACATAACCATTGTAGTCCCCAGCCCAAGTAATCTCATGTTCCTGTATGGGCAGAACGGGAAGGTCTTCAGGGACTTGATCTTCATGTCTCTGACCAGGGGCCATAAGCTAGTGACTTCTTGTCTTTGGTCTGCCACCAGGGGCCCACAGCTTTGACCCTAGTCTTGACCACCATGGCCTCCATGAAAACTTTGGAGTCTCCCCAAGCATGGGCCTGTGTCCTTGTACCTCCTGCTGCATTTACATCATCTAATTGATATTTTCTTGAACAAGTAATGAATCCTATCTGAAAAAAAAAAAAAAAAAAAAAAAAAAAAACAACTAAAAAACTGTAGAGACTATTTCTTGAAGAGGGGAAGAGGTGTTTGGTGACACTTGTAAAGGTAGATAAGGACAGTGATGGATGGGACTGAGGTCACAGCAGGCACTGATAGGAAGAGTCAACACTGGTGATGGTAGCTTAGAGCCCGTGGATGTGCCCCACTGCAAGCCTTACATAAGATGTACCCTGCCAGGGGGTAGCAGCCTTGATTGACACTAACCCTCAGAGGATGGCAGTAACCCACACTCCTCACACTTATAACGGCCAATGTGAAAACCTATCCAGAGCAGCAATTCTCACCATCCTCTCCTGGGTCCATGATGATGGCCAACCACACACTGAGCATTGAGAAACAAATTTCCAATTGTCCTCAGCGCAATGAATCTGAATGGTGGCATCCATTATGAAGGGGATCCTAGGGGGGCCATGGTGACACTTCACCTACACGTTGGTGTGCCTGGTGGCTGCAGAGAAGATGTGGCTAGCGATAGAGTTGGGCTTGTGGCCCTAGACCATGACTTCTGTATTGGTTGTTTTGTGTGTTCTCCAGCCATCATTCCTATGCTTCGGCAGGCCACCACATGGGGGGAACTGCCATGTGGCCACCCTGAAGAATCCCGTGTGCTCTGAAACCATCCTAAACTAGATCCTGAGGACCATGGGAAATGCTTATGCAACAGGCTCCTAAGTCCCCTAGAACTTAGCACAGCTGTCTCCATGGTAGAAGTACCATTCGGGACATAAAACTCAGCATATAGACAATGCCACCTGCCAAAACAAAAACAAAGATCTAATCCATCAAACTCCATAGTTCTGGGAAAGTCTCTAAACGTACTAACCTTGCTTTTTTCTGTAGTTCTGCTTCTGGCTAACTTCTTATTAACTGAAGCATGACAGCCCAGAACATGGTTTTGTGCTTAAAAGCTCACCCTGAGAAAGGCTCAGCGCCCTACTGGGATGCTAAAAGACTTTCTTTTGGCTTAAACCCATGTCCGAGCAGTCTTTTCTGGTGAATACCCCCAGCCTTACTGCCCTGTGCAGGTGGCTTATGTCATGCACTAATTTCTTGGTCATTATCTCCAGCTCCACTTCCAAAAGTTGGCTTAGGGGACCTGGGGCCTATGGCCTGACTGCCCTTTTTTCTCCTACAGTGCTAGCCCCAACCAGAAGCTTCCTTCTTTCCTTACAGTGGTAGCTCATGGTGGCTTCCAAAGCCAGCCCCTAGACATCAGGGCTCGGGAAAAGATCCTGCCTGGCCAGTCTCCAGGCTCTCAGAGTTTGAGCCACCTTGACTTGTGCAGAGAAAACAGGGCCAGCTGGGCTGCTGGCCCAGGTATAGGCCAGCCAGAGGGGTGAGACAACGCCTCCACTGGACATCACAGATCTTGCATGAGAAGCAGGGGTGGCGCGGGAGGTGGGGGGTTGGGTGATATAAGCCCAAAAGTCTCAATGCAGGAAAACATGACTGCTACCTACATCCAGACCATCCAGCATGCTAGTCAGAAAATCTGAGCTTCCAGGCTTCTGGGATGGATAACCCCTTGCTGAGGGGTGGGGAGCCCCTGGGAACAGAGGCAAAGAAAGGAAAAACAATGCAGCCAATAAGCCCTGGGTTCCTCTCACCTCTACTCTGAGAGAGAGATCCCATACATTCCATCCTCAACCACAATTCTCACCCAACTCCTTACGGTGATGATGCAGTTATTCTGCCTAACATTAACTTGTAGATAGAAAGTTATAAATGTAGTAAGAGGAAGAAAAAAATCAACAGAAAACCGTCGATGTATATAGTACATTTAAATTATTAGAACCATCCCTTAAAATTTAGATATTTAAGTTCCAACTAAACTTTCGGTATGCACAATAATATGAGATGTGGAAACAGAACTTTTAAATAGCTAATTAAGGTACAATGGAGGTTATATGTGTAAATACATCCTAATCCAGTTGTGACTGTGTCACTGTAAGAGAATATGGGACAAGAATGACTCAGAAAGAGAGTAGCATGTATGGATAGGAACAGGGTGTCCATCTACAAGCCTGGAAGAAAAACCCATCGGAAAAACTAACTTGCCGTAGCTCCAGAACTAAGAAAATGTCTAAGTACTATCAGTGTGGTACTTTATCGAGGACCTCACAACTTAATGCTGCCATCCAGACATTAGTGTTGGCAAAGGATGGACACTGATAACTGAAGCGAAGCGGAACAACCCACATGAATATGATGAAGCTGTCCTGTGGAGGAAGGATAGCTTCTTTGGCTGGCTGAAACCCAGCAACAATAAAACTAGCTGCTAAAGGCTTATTCTGATAAATATAATTCAACACACACACACACACACACACACACACACACACACACACACACACAGAGCTAGGGAGCATTTATGAGGTCCTGGGCTCAATCCCAGCAATGAGGGAAAATAAAAAGAACAACAACAAAAAGGCAACTAAATATACAGTCTAAATCGGTGATGAAGGAAAAAAAAGGCCTGAAGCGATGGCTTGGTGGGCAAAGCGCTTGTGCTTGCAAGGATGAGAACTTGAGCTTCGATCCAAGCACCAGCATAAAACAGGGCAAAGGCTAGCACTGAGAGTTGGGAGCAGAGATAGGTGGGTCCTAGGGACCTGCTGGACCAGCCAGCCCTGGGCTCAGTGACAGATCTTGCCTTTAAAAATAAGGTGGGGAGTAATAGAAGAAGACAGCCAGTGTCAGTTTCTGGCCTCTGCCTGCTGTTCGTGCTAGTGTCGCCCCTCCCCAGTATACACACATTTTTTTTTTAATTAAAGAAAAAAGTGACCTAAAAACCTGCCTTCTAAAAATGGAAACGATTCTTTTCTTTTCTTTCATTTTTGTGTTTGTTTTTTGTTTTTCTCTGTGTAGCCTTGGCTGTCCTGGACTTGCTTTGTAGACCAGGCTGGCCTCAAACTCACAGAGATCCACCTGCCTCTGCCTCCCTGAGTGCTGGGATTTCAGGCGTGCACCACCATGCCCTGCTACAAGATTATTTCTTTAGATTTATCCTGAAGACTGTTATGTACTATGAGTTTGTAAAACGTGTCTCAGGAAAAACAAC